TAATCCCTAGATAGACCCTATATAATATACGCCGTTGTTCCCCACTCTAGCCCCGAAGTGGTTTCGATGTTCTTTTATCATATAGGGATTCCAGAGGGATTATATTCCCTCATTCCCTACTAACCCCCCCAAGTAAGATGTTTCAGCAGGCATGTCCCAAGTTTATTCCGTCCTGGAGTACACGGGCATTGATCATACTTGGGTACAGTCCTGCAAGCCCCAAAATCTCATAATTGCACCTCTTGATGAAGTCTGGCATGCTTTTGAGAAGCCTCCGCACGGCTTTAGGCCATTTGCGTGCTGCTCACTCCAGGCAGAGTATTCCAGTCGACTCTTGTAATCGAGTGTCGTTGATTGGTCGTTATGTAAAATGTGTTATCTGCCTCGAGCCCCTACTCCCTGACCGCCCTGGACTGCTAGACCCGTAAACCTGCATTGTGCGCTTCTACGTGCTCAACGGAGAGGATGGTTTTGCTTTGGCGCCCTACTGGGAGCCAGCGGCGGTAGAAGGCTTTTCCTTGGCTGTGGAGGCAGCCTCTGATTGGCATCAAGGGTTTGGTTCTTCGTAGGGATGGGCCCGTGAAAGCTGTAGGGACATTTCGGAAGATGAGAAGGAGTCCGTCTTGTGCTGTCCATCTTGTGGGTTCTATAAGTTTTGCAGAACCTCCCCATGAGCTTTTTATGATTACTGCAAACGAAACCTAGCAACGCACCAACCAGCGAGTTTTCGGCTTCAAGATTGGTTTGGAATGCCGCGAAGCTGCGATGGCATTGGGGATGGGCGACTTGAGACTGTGAATCCTCCCTGCTTGCTTGTGAACAACGTTCGTGCAGAAAGTTTTAGAAACATGTCGTACAGTATCTTGTACATTCACAGCTGCCAAGAAGCAAGTCTTGCAGAGGTTTGGTTGCTTGCCGGCGTGTCGCCGTGTTTCAATGTAGCAATAGTAACAGTAGAAAACCTAAATGCGCTCAGAGCATCCGACGAGAAGATAAGTGAATGTGACCGATGCGAAGACAAGCATGCTCCATGTCGGTGTGGCCAGGGTTTCTAAGCAACTCACAGGAACCTGGGAGCGGGAATATGGGCACCATACATGCTAGAGGCCCTCCTTCGCACTGCTACATTGCCACATGCAATCAACACCGCGCAGATCACCTCAGAAAAACGGGTACAATTGGAGACCGCGACATCTTCTTCCAGGGCGGTGGAAATGTACGGCGCCACGTAATTGCTACACAAGTCCCTGAGGAAAGTGCTGCAAGGAGGCGGAACGCGGAAATTTTTGGAGAGATGAGACATCCCCAAACACCTATTTATACTTATATCGGTATATGTACATACACATATACGAGAGTGCCAAGAATCAGGGGCCCCTTTCTGGGAGTCCTATAGTTTTTTGAATTGAGGCGTCCCCCTTGCATAGAAACTCAAATGTCTGCGGGTCCAAGCTCTAAACTGAGCATATTTCCATCCCTCAACCCGACAACACAGAATCAAAGTTAGCACATTTTCCAATTGTGTGGTAGATGCTAGTGGAAATCACAATAACAGAAACAATTGAAGCAGTCAAGCAGCGTTGTAAAGGTGGGAGCCCTTGTTTTGGGTGTTGAATCGGGAGCGTTTGTTTCGGGTTTAGCCTCTTCTGGGCTTTCTGTTCTTTCAGAGCGAGGCCAGTTTAGCAGTTTCCGGGCTATTCCAAAGGCTTTAGACGTACATGCAGGAAGTGCGCAACGATACCGCACCGCCCTCAGATACAGCTCAGAAAGGGAGTTCGCCGGAGAGCGGGCCTGTTCGTCGAGCAGCATCAATCGGCCACATGAAATACCAGTGTGTGACAGTTCAGGAATTGTGGTTTCGGGTCTTTCAGAGGAGAGCTATGCGGAAGGATCCTTAGGGCACAAGTATTTAGTGCGGAGTTCAGGGCGACAGCCGCAAATGTACAGCAGTCAAGTTTGTGCTTGTACTGGCTGCTGCACGATCAATGGTTACAATTCCCCACTCGGCGTTACCACATGCGACTATTTCCCGGCAATTATCCCAAACATCTCTGAATGTCCCCTGCTACCTTCTCAAAATCCTCAAGGCCCCCTTTACAAGAAAACTCCATAGGATGATTGTTGACGACAAATTTCAGCCCTGGGACCCCAAAAACTGATCCCCTTGCAATCCGTCGTCTGTTTCCGTTCTGGTGGGCTCATAATTGTCAGTATACTGTGCTGTTAAATTCCCTGGCGAGACCTAAAGGATGGGGCCAAGTATTTGCGCTGGTATTTGGTTTGCGGTTGGGATGGTGGGTGTTGGATTTGAGGTTTAGGCTGCTGGGGTCCCAGCATCTTGGCTGGAGGTGTCAGCAGGCTGGCATGCTATAACTTGCGGTTGACATTGTGCTGGCCTGAACGCACTTTGTGCGCACTAACCGGAATATCCCAAAAGTTGCCTTTATCTCAGCTTTTAGAGCTATTGGTTTGGCCACCAACTCCCCACCGGCCTGATAGCTTATAGGATTTCTTAGCTGCCTCAAAGAACATGCCGCCGTAGCGCTCGGGGCAGTTCTTCAGAAGCCCTGAAGCCTGCGTAGACCAACCCTCCCCCCAATCTTCAAAAGAGGACCTTCGCGGCGTATCATTCTTGTGCTTAGGGTCTATAACCCTAAACCCTGAACCCGTAGACGACAAAGCCAAGGACTTGAATTGTCATCAGGATTCAGGATTTGAAGTTTAGGGCTTGATGTGGTTGATTTTCCACAATATACGCGATAGCAGAAAGCCTGAACATAGAGTAGTTTCATATACCTTGGGCCAAGCCAGAAGCCCAACATTCACCATCTTGCATATAGTTCCCACCATAAGCTATCAAAGTGGTACCACCATACAATATCTGTAACCCTCAGCCTGAAACCCTTGTTTCTCAAGCCTCCCGCATGGCCTTTTTGAAGGGTTGCGATGATGGTTTTCAGGCTGCGGAGTGTTCCGTGCGGATGCTGAAATGCCAGCTTGGACCTTGGGATAACCCAAAGGGTCCATGTACCCAATAATTAGGTCCCTTTAAAGGGGATATATAGGGTTAGGGTTGAGGGTCCATGTACAAAAATATTTAGGTACTTGGGAGTTGGGTAATAGTAATTATAGTACACGTTTTGGATAAGTATATAGGACCCTTTAGGATAATAACAGCACTACTACGTAGCTCGTAACTGTTTGTCTTACGGGCACCCCCTAAGTTGTAGCTCTTCTGCACCAGCCCGGATGGGCTAGGTGCAATTCTGTGTGAAATTCAGTCACCGAAACCGACCCTTGGACTTTATGCACGCTTTTCTAATCACGCTTGCTGGTACAAGGCATACAGCGATGGTATCTTGAACAGCAGCACATGGTGACAAAGTCTAGTCTTTATTGTTCGAGCCTTCGCTATTGGTTGATAGTGATGAACTGGACTGGAGTGTCTGCAACAAAATTGGAGAGCATGCAGCTGCAATATGCATATGTACGTCACTGCGCTGACACACGCGTGTTTCGAGTCATAGAAGCCCTACGTGGTCTGTGTCCTTCCCTGCTTCCTCTTCAGGTATGAGAATTACATAGCAGAATGCAGGAAGCATAATTTGGTACGCACTGTCTGACAAAAAGGTTTCAGGGTCCCTCTTGCAGGGCCTCCAATAAAGGGGAGCAATTTTGACCACCCCTGCTTACTTGAAGGCTCGTGGGTAATTGTACCTGGTGTTCTAGGTTGCCCGAACCATGTTGGAAGCATATACAAATTGTTGTTGTCCTACCCATAACCCGATTGATTACCACCTATGAACGTCTCAGTAGTCCTCCACTGGCTCCTCGCCTTCAAATAAGGCAGGGATCATGTGAGACACAGGCAATAGGTGGGTGCCCAGCAGCCATTGTCCTAATTCTAGCAGCTTCATCACAGAGGATCCAATTTTGTGGACCTTCACTTCAGCACGTCCCAAATTAGTTTCATTGCTAGTTCAAAAAGACTGCCCTAGGCCATCTTGGCAAAGCTTCTGACCTAAAGCTATGCAGGCTTAACGTGCGGAAAGCCGTCCTTTGATTCCTATCTGAAACCTTAAACCTCTAGCTCATGCCCTATTTGGGCGTTGCCATTTCTTTCAAGGCCAAATAAAGGGCTTTTTCGCAGGCGTGGTGATGATGTTTGGGCCGGTCCGCAGATTGTGGTCTGGAGCCTACATGGAGTTTCTGAAAGTTATCTCAGCACACTCCTCAGAAGAACAAGGCTGCCCAAACCCTAAGCCTCATGTGAACTCTGAAAAATTAAACTTGCCCAAATTATCCAACAGGGAGCTTTCTGTGGTATCCCTTTCGAGCAACCCACAACAGCATCTCGAGACGCCCCCCAAGGAATGTTCGCGGAAGCACCGTAAGAACTCGTTTTCGGTCTATGGTCCCCCTTAGTAGATAGAATATGGCTTTGGGTACTTGAGGGGGACTATAGGGTCAAGGGATCTGGGCTTTAGGAATTTAGGTTTAAGAGTTTCAGACATTTAGGATTTTGCGGTGGTGGGATTTAGGGGTTAGGGGCTGGGGAGTAGTTTTCAGTGTCAAGCTGCATTCAGAAAGAACCATTGGTTCAAGGATTTTGGAGACTGGGCGTTAAGTTCGACATTCTTGGCTCGGCCCCTTTAAGGGGGTTCTACAGGGAGATGCAAGGGGTATATAGGGACAAATAAATCTGGGCAGAATAAGGAGAATCATGTGGAACAGAGTATGTAGGGAAAAACGACTCATAATCAAATCTTTAATGGACTATGATGGACCCCTTGCTGTCTTTGTTTGCTTTAGTCTGATTTTTCCTGCTCTTTGAGGGTTTGGGCTTCAAGCTTCCTATAGGGAATCTTAGGATAGCACATCGCCGAAGATAATACATGACAGGGGAACCCCCCGAATTCGTAACCCCCAAAACCACCCTAAACCCAAGCCCTCCAAGCCTTAGAACCCCCAAAACCCCCTAGACCCTAAACCCCTTGGAGGTGCCATGGTGGCGGGATCAAAGCGAGCCCCCTTTGCAGCGATTTCTTCAGTGCTCTGCCGATATTTCTGGTGTAGGTGGAGACTAGAAATCCTGCATGACCCTTGGTGCCTATGTACTACCTTGGGAAGATGGTGCTATAGCATACTATGGTCATGCAGGATTTTTAGTATGAACAGTGGGGTTTAGAGTTGAGGGTTTCGGATTTGGGATTCAGGCTTGCAGGCTTTATCTCTGGGACTTAGGGTGTCGGGTTTGGGAAGTTTTTCTATGCCCTCATAGCCAGGATTACACATGGTTAGCATTTGGATTAGGTGTGTAGGGGAGCAAGAGAGCAGGCCTATTTCATGTATTCCTGGGTCCACATGAGCACATGATTGAGTGCTTGCTGCCTAAGCACGCTTTTTGTTTTGATGCGGAGAGACGGACTGCAGGGACTTTGGTGGCATGTTCTCCTTCTCAGGGTTGAGGGTCTGGTGGTTTGGGGAGAAAGGGGTACACCCTAAACCCTGAACTCTAAGCCCTGAATATAGTCTCGACTCATCACTGCAAATGGTTTGAGACCCTTCCACATAGTGTTGTATGAGGTGTAAGGACACTCAGACAGCAAGCCGTGTTTTGAGATACAGCCCTCCACCAACAACGGGTACAGAGAAGTCCCGCGTTTGCCTTCCACAATAAACCCTACCATCAAATTCTCTAAAACAGAAGCCCTTTCACTAGAAGTTCTACACCTAAATCGCCAAGACCCCGCGCCCCCGCAATCCTCAAAAGTCCTGCGCCCACATTGCCGCAATACCCTCCCCTCTGGCCCGCAACTTGGGAAGCACTCAGGCTTGACAAGCTGCCTGGGCCCGAGCTTAACCGACGGCTGAAGAGCGATGTTTGCTGGATGTGGATGTTTCAAGGGGTCTAAGTGATGTAGAGCCTGGTTCGAGTTGGAAATGTTGATGCTCAATCTTGATGGCATTCTTTGCTAACCTACTGCATCGCCCCAGAAAAGGAGTGTCTGCGGAGTAGGTTTCTTGATAAACCCACTTTCGGTTCCGTTTGCAGCTCGGTTTTGTGGGCCTTTCCTGTGTTCAAAGCTTTTTGATGTGGCACCCTTTTTAATGAGGGGGCGTCCCCCCCCCCTCC